CCCCCCCCCCCCCCCGTCTTTTTTCCACCCAGCCCCAAGCTCTCACCCTCTCCTCTTGTTGTTTACATAGAAACTTCTCAACTACTCATATTTGGCAACTAAAGAGATAAGCAGGCCATGTTATTCATTTAAACTCTGCAATCGATAGACTCTTTGGCCATTCTCGTTGTGGCTGCTGGTGTAGGCATTCTCCCATATGACCTAGTTTTACTTTGGTGAAGGTGTTTTTAGCTCTGTCAAACTAAGTTTTAGTGGAAGACTTCCCCATCAGAAACAATTTTTAAACTGCAGAATGCATGGCTGGAAATGTTGTGCATTCACTTTGAACTGTAGCAGAATTGCTGCACCATGGAATCATGAATCATCAAATTGTTAGGTAAAACCTTCTGGAAAGTAAATTTCAGGATACAAATCATATTAGCCTGTCTTAACAGTTCCAAACATTGGTAAATTTACCGGTAAATCTGTTGACTTGAGGGAAAATTTTAAGTAATTTTCTACATGCTGGTATACATGTATATCAGTGACTGCTGAATGTTTTTCAAGCCATTGCGAACACTATCAAAGTTCAGACTGTTCATTGAATGAGGAAAAAAGGATCTGCTATGTCACTGGAATGTGGACATGCTTTTTCAGGAGGAGTTATGGGTGGGATTTGGTGCCCCAAGTTCAACTTTTTTTTTTTCCAAAATCATTATTTGGTAATCTTCTATCACAAAATGGTTGCTATTTAATGAGTGCCTAAAATCATCACACAGTTGAACTACAGGCTGGGCTAGGCACTACTGAGAAATTACTTCAACTGTTTTTCAAAATTTTTATTTTGTGTACCTTTGTGTCCAACATTGTTGTAGAACTGTCTTGAGGTCACTGCTGAAAGTGTTATCATTCTCTCTTCAATATGAAAGTTAAACCATTGTCACAAAGTACATATATTTTTGGGGATGGCTACTCTATGTAAACTTTCTGTCATCCGTATAGTTTGATTGCAAACAGTTGTCAGGGAAATTTTCTAGTGCATGTATTAGACATTATCTGTGAAAAAAACATATTATTTTATTCTTTGCCACAGATTTCCATGGAATTCATTAAAACCTGTCTTCTTATTTAAACTTGACAAGGTAAAACCTAAAATTTTATTATACTTTGACCAATAATGCTTATCCTGCATTTTTCAACTACATTTGTCGGGACAGAGCTGAGTACACGTACATGTAAGGTCTGCATATGTCAGAAATACGTTTATGAATCCATAAAAACAAATAAATGTGGTGGTTGTTTTAAGAATGTTGAAAGCCAGCTTAATGTCCTTCATCCATTGAAACTGTTTTATCCATATTATTGTAGCCTAATCTATGAAAAATGCATTTGTTGCAATCAAAATACCATGGTTTGCTGTTAAATTTCATTAAGTGTGCAGAAATAAGACTATGGTGTCCAAAATGTATTGGTTCTACCATTTTAGTCTACTGTTGTCATGCTTTTAAGCATGAACCCGCGAAATTTCATGATATGTGCAAATGTTTTTCAGCTCTGTCAAGGTACTGTGCATTTACACAATTTATGTCAATTTTTATATATTGATAACTACTTGTATCAGGAGAAAAATTTCAAGGAAAACCAGAATAATCTCCATGTTTGAATAAAAATAGCTTACAAAATCAAAATTTAGGCCACAAACTCTCTGATCCTCAGGGCCTGCCAAACCTCTTTTTTGCTGCCTTCAGTTGTTGATCATTAACAAATATTTACAAGTAGAGACATGAAAATGATACAATTGCATTAAATTGTGATGCAGTCCAACACAGTTTTGCTGATGGTTTTCCAGCAGTTTTGAGCTGAAGGATTGAACATTTATTCAATAGCAGTAAAGCTCTACTGCTTGTTTTCACAGTTCTGTGGCTTTTTTTTTCTCCAAGCACCCACAAAATTCAGGCTACTTTACCCGTGATCCTTCAGGAATTTTGATTCCGGCCTTAGAGGGTGGCATTGTTAACAGCAGCTTAGAGCATTTTCTGCCATCTGGCTATCAACTCCACAGTGCTCCTGTTATTTTAAGGTGCAGTAAGGCATAAGAATCAGTCTGTGCATCTCTAAATCCCCTATAAAACAAAAAAAAGTTATACACATGTATATCGTAATGTGTGTTAACTATATAATTGTACAGTGTATGTCATAGGTAACAGAATAGATTGAGAAACAAAACCTAAACTCATTACTTGGCTGATGAGTAGTGAGACAAAAGTAAGTTCTCAGTACATTCTCATTTCATGCTGACCAGGAGAGGACAGGTGTTCATGTGCATGTATGCAGTTTGTCATACATGTACATGTACCTGTCCTTCTATGCTAAATTTGACCTCGTCTCAACCACTGGCACATGTTATGTTAACATTTACTAGGTAATGCGAGAATTCTTTGAGAGCAGCCCATCCAGGAATGCATCATCTACTGAACCAACGGTTACAGCAGACTTTGAAGTAATGAGGCAGAGACTTTTGGATTGTCTGGATTCATTCACAAGGTATGACTGATGATGATAATAGTAAAGATGGATTTATTCATATACAGCAGAATCTCTATATCAATATGCTCTAATGCTTTTTACAACACTTTGTGGAGGACTATGGCCAGATAGCATTAAGCAGTTTACAATTTGTTCTTAGGGAAATTTTATTGGGTGCCCCCAATTTAGGAATTGTTTAGAAACAATGCTAGACCACAACACAAAGAGCTACTGTATGTTCCCTACTCTTTGCAAGAAGTGTGTGGGTTCTTATTGTTGGCTGCCACCCAGTACAGAGAAGATGTAGGAGATAGGGCCTTTGATTTATTGTCCTTATTGGAGGAAACTAGAGGGGCAATTATTTGCAGATGTCTCTGCTGCACATTTTCCTTGGTTATTGTAACACCCTCTGACTGTTGGTCCAGTCTGGGGCACAAACCTTAAACCTTCAACCTTCTGCACAGCAATCACACATTACAACCAGATTTATTGTCCTTATTGGAGGAAATTAGTAGGGCAGTCATTTGCAGATATCTCTGCCACACATTTTCCTTGGTTATTTTAACACCCTGACTGTTGGTCCAGTCTGGGGTACAAACCTTCAACTTCATGCACAGCAATTACACACTACAACCTGAGCTACATGTAACCTTCATATAATAATTTATTTTAGCTTTCCTGGGAGTAGTAATACAAAGATATACTAGATGTATTTTTGAGCAACATTTATATGGTAACCCCAAGAATGATAGGAATGATCACATGTATATGTACAGTTATATAATAAGCTCAGTTATGCACGCATTCTGATTGGTTCTCACTTATGATCTATAGGAGGACAGACGTATAGATGACATCATCATTAAAACTTTTTTTAATTCTTTATTATATAAAACAAATAGATTCCAAGTTACCGTACGTCTGTTCAGTAATAGATCACAGAGGATGTCAAAATGTGGTAAGAACATCAGTGACACACTCAGCTGCGCCTTGTGTGCCGCTTTTTTGTTCTTACCACATTTTGATGTCATCTGTGATCTATTACTGAACAGACGCACAGCAACTTGGAATCTATTTGTTAATTAGTGTGGTAGAACTACAGTACATGTTGTATCACAAGATTTCTGGTTTTGTTTTAGTCTCTGAAATAAAGTGCAAATCCTTTGTCAGCTGATAATATTTTTGATCAGCATAAGGCAGTTTTTTAATAAACTTACCAGTACACTAAAGTCACATAAATGTACAGGTAACAAACAGTTCCTTGCATTTTTTTTAATCCAGATCAAGATTAACATGCACATTTATTAGGGTAACAATTTTAAAGCTCTACAGCACCCCCCCCCCCCCCCCAAAAAAAAAGTAATGTATTAAATATAATAATATTATATAATATAATATAGAATATATATATTATTATATATTGTTTGTAATATTATACACACACTGTAATAATAGTAGTTTAATAATGATTATTATAATAAATTAATAAAACAGGCTGCAAGGGAAAGACAATAAGTTCACTGTTTTGTCACAACTCTCCCATCAGGAATGTGCGAGTGTAAATTTTCTCTACAACCCAATATTGGCATTTTTCTTTATATCTACATTGTATGATAGATAAGAGTCTTATCAGATCTTTCCTTCTTATTAGTGCACCTTTTACTATCCAAAGACTTTGTGAGTTGATGATGGAACCCAGGAAAAACTATAGCAACAGTGAAAAATTCATGAGAGGAGTTGAGAAGGTGAGTCATAGTGTGCTAGGGAAGTCATATTATGATTGCAAAGCACATTTGGGAAGGAATCATCGAAAAGTGATAAAATTCAGATTTGCAATCTGTACATGTAGGTCCAGAGAGTGATGTTGTTGCAATTCCTGTTTGGATTCATTTGTTGTGGCCCAAAGTTGAATTTCTTCGTGTTTCATGTACACTTGTACTACTAGGAAGTAACCAAGACTGATCTGCTTCATATCTTGTCTGATTGGAATTTGGGTGAATTATTTCAAATTAAAATCCATCTGTTAAGTTACCCCCAATTCTTTTCAGTGGCTACTTTATGTTGTGTAGTGCAAAATCACAGGACAGTTCTCAGGCAATATGCCCCATCTACATTCATATTTGTCCTCCAATTACTGAAGCTAACAGAAACAAAGCTACATGTACATGTACCAGGAAAAAGCCTGTTCAAGAGTTTCACTCCTTCATCTTTATTACTTTATATGGAAGAAAAATTAACTATTATTGTAGAGTCCGAGGATAATGACATTGAAAAGCTGATTTTAAATGCTGCTCCAGAAAGTATACTGCACAAAAAAGTCAACACAATTTTCTGACAATGCGTGATACAAAAATTAATTGAAGGGCTGTAAGATAGATAAACCTCCTTTTGGTTGAAATGTTGTCCCAAAAAATTCACACTCACCCCCAAAGCTTCACTTCTCAGCCAAATAGTAATTTATTAATATCTTGGACAATGTCGCAGCTGCAGACATAACCAGCCAACATACCAGTCTCTAGAAGGGGTTTATTTACCAACTGATTTTTAATTTTTTGATTAGAGATGTAGACATGATGTTGACATCTGCTTCATAAAAGAACATGCCCTAACAGTACACTTACAAACTGAATGAAATTTTAAAGTTGATTGACCAGAAAAAAAGAAAAAAGGAAAAAACCCCAACAACAAATTTTAGTACAGAATAATCTTTGGACACAACTGGGTATATTGTAAGTTACCAAAAAGTAGTGATCATCTCTCTTGGAGATGTTCAGTACATGAAACTATCAAAACAGCTGTGGCTTGGATTGCCTAAGAACACTACATAATCATTCAATTTATGAGGTGCAGATTTGTCTGTTGGTTTTTGTTTCCATTTTCATATTTTAAATCATGGACACTTTATTGTTTTCAGAATGTACTTGTGGTTAGCACAGTGGATTTTGGTAGAGATGAAGTTGCAGTGTAAGTACATATAGTTGTTGTTAATGCTCATAAACCCCTCAAGCCTTATTAGTGACTAATTGGTGAAATGCAACTTTTCCTAACAGTTTCACTGCAGCAAGTAGTTAATAGGCGTGGGTAACTTTATTAAGTTGACAGTGCTACATATGAATATGAAAGTGATTTTTGTAGTAATGAACACTCCTTAAACAGTAGTGAAAATAAGGCTTGAATTTTTTTCAGGCCTGTATAATTTTTTTCTGGCCATATTTTTACCACTGTTTAAGTAGCGTTCATTACTGCGAAGATCGCTGTCATATTCATTTTTCAATTCGCAGGTCACAGATATGATTTTCTTATATATACAGTCAGTGCTACATGTATCTTGACGTATGCATGATCACCAAATTCGTTTAACTAATTCAGAGAGAAAGTTTAATAGCTGTAGCGAGAAATTCCCTTGTCCAATTCTGATCAGGGAAGAGACTGTACCAAAGAACATCCACTAACACTATAAATACAGTTACCATATATGGTTCCTCTTACTGATCTACCTAAGCTTGCAACGGAATAATTTTGGTGTGTGTTACATGTCCATGTACGTTTGTTGGTAATTTTTTTTTTCCATTAGCGCCGTTTTTCGAGTGAATACCGCATAACAAATTTCTTATCTTATTTCTACCAGCTATGGTCTCACGAACAACATTGATGGGCAACACACGTTGTCAAATGTCCCTAATGGTCCAGTTACAAACGGAGTTATGAGCTTAGGAGCCTCGTCTGAAGGAAGCTTTGTCGCAGATCATGGTTATGACGAACGACTTTCACCTCATGTCACGCCAGATAACGTGACACAAAATGTCACACCAGGCACAAATGGACCTACACCTTTAAACGCCCATGAAAATGGACATGATACTCAAGAACATTATAATGAAGCCAATTCAACAGCTAATTCCACGGGAGTGGAAACAGCAGCCTCGTTAGCTCCACCAGAACACGAAGTACGCGAAGAAAAGAGTGAAGTACTGAGTACGAGAGATGGAGAACATGTTGAACTAGAGCAGGCACCAGAAAGAGATCTTAGTGATGGGTTGCCTGTGACTTGTGCATCCAGAAGTCCTGCAGAAGAAAAAGAAGCCGCCCAAGTACTTCAGGAAGATTCAAAACAACCATCAACAACGGAAATAAGTGAGTGGATAACTTGAAATTTAGAGAGTACAGTGTTGTACATGTTAACATGAATGCCAAAGAATCACTCTATAATTCAGCCTACATGCCCCATCAATCTGAACCAGAAGAAAATTTAAAGTCAGTTTTCAACCCTTAAAGCCTGTTTGTGTAACATTTCCCTTCCCCTGCCCTCCCCTGCTCTCCCATGTCCTCCCCTTCCTTCCACCTCCGGACACTTTTTCCGGTTGAAGTCATTTACACTATAAGTACATGAAAGCAAAGGAAATAGGACGGAAACCTCTCTAAATAACACAATGAACATTACAGAATAAACGGATTAAAAGATTAAATGAATCAATTAACCACTCAAAATTTGTTTTAAATTCGTTTCCTTTCAATTTCTTGTTTTTTTTTTTTTTTTTTTATTCTTAAAAACTGTTTTTAACTTAATTTTCAGAAAGTGACTCTGCTGAGCAACAGACTCTTGAAACAGAGACTTCAAAAAGCCCTGAGAAAATCGAAACAAATGGAGACGAAGAGCCGATGGATGAAAATTAACATACAGTTTACATGTACTTCAGATCAGTGATAATGTTCCTATGTATCAACAAATGGCTGTTCTCAATTCCTTCGAGTTCGAAAGACAAGTAACCTCACAAGATGAAGAGATCGTGGCCGCATAAACCACATTTTGAATGACACCTTCAAGTTGTTCAGAACGATCGTTCAAACGAAAGAACATTCTATTATTCGTAAAATTTTTATTTTATTAATATTTTGTTGGTTTGTTTTCTCATTCATTGTTTTAGTAGGAAAATGTCTTTATAGACCTCAAAAGAGAATTTTGGCTTTATATTGTCCAATCAAATTGCATTGCAGACTTTAATGTTTCCTCTCTGCAGCCATTACTTTGCAGACATGTTTTGTAGGGTTTAACTTCTCACGTGTATGGGAGTCAGACTTAATTTCTTAACTAATAGACGGAAGTTCTGCTCTAAGTTACTTTTCCTTCACTTTTGTACTTTACATCTTCGCAGTTAACGCTATCCATAACTCTCAATATTGTAAACTTTCTTTACACATTCCGTTTAATACTATGCGTTTGTCTTGAACGTGCGTGTTCGGGAGTTTCTAAGGTGTTATTTCTGATGTCGTTCGCCTTCTTTTGAAACTTCCTTGGTCGTGACTGCTACTTTCACGTAATTTTTACCTATTCAGTTATCATCATTCAATTCTTTCAGCCCTTTTCACCAACTCTTCATGTTTTATGTTCTCTTCCTTCTTCCGTAGCATTTCCTCAAGGCTATTTTTGAGACTTTCTCTCTAGTTTTGATTCGAGGAGAGAGAGAACATGGATTTCAGTAACAAAAGTTTCCCAAAAGAGAAGGTGACGCTAATATTCGTCAGCTCTATGTAACATTAACTTGGGTTCAATTTAACAATATAACAAAAGCTATCATATGAAAGGTGGAATTTTCTTTTTTTATCTATAAGTAGGAATTGCCTTCTCTAAGTGTAGAAAGCCAAAGCAAAAAATTAAATCAGTCAAACAATATTATTGACAATTTTTCGTAATCTGAAATGTATTGCTAATGCATTGATCAATTTGAAGCCTCAACATCGATGCACCCCCCCTCCCCGGGGGAGTTTGAACTTTTAAAGATTGTTTCGTCCAAAGTCCCGCCTAACGGGGCAAAATCTGAGTTGAAATTAATTTGTGTTGAAATTTGATGGCCAATTTTTTTGTAACAGACTAGATGAGCGGCCGTGATTTTCTTCACAAAATTGGTCGTTTACCTGTTTAAACACCCCCATATTAAAAGATAAAACACGTGTATTCCACGAAAAGAGTGGAGAGTGCCGCTTCAAATTTCCCACCCCACCCAAGCAAGATTCGAATTTCACCTCCCCAGGTGGGAGGACAGAAATGCTTGTGGTTGCCTATAGTGGTGATGGCGAAGCTTCGATTAATCGGTGCATAATTGCTTTTAAAAACTATTTTTACTGTTCGAACTTGAATTGCTGAGCTTTTTCATAATGTGGCGTTACCTAAGTTGCTCACCAATCTCATTCCCAGGGAATTTTGGTCACTCTTTTTCCCGACCTATGGTCAGGGGAACAAGGACTCTGCAGTAAGATTTTTATGAAACGTATGAGACACTGAAAGATTTCATTAAAACTTCTAAAGTAACCCATGGAAAGGAGACCATATTATCTGCGCATTTAGATGACTGAGTTTTTCCCAATTAGCCTACTTACTCCAATATCTTAAATCAGTACTAATTTTTTAAAAGTACCCTTAAGACAGTCTCAGATCTAGCGTACAGACTAGGCGTTATTAAGTAGGGGGAGGGAAAGGGGGCGGTGTTAAGGCGAGTGGAGCTCGAGCTTAGCTCGCTTCTGTTCGCCTGAAAAACGCAAAAAAACAGATGATGCCAGTTCTTCAAGTTATCACTTAGCTTTTTTGTGTATTTCGTCACGCAATTTACTTCCCCGTAGCCAAAGGGCTCCTAACGAGGACTTATATTTACACGAGTAGTAGCCGCTATTCAAGAAATGAGCCCGCGCTGTTCCCTTCCCCACCCTTGAGAGTCGAAGGCCGGATCCGAGTAGACGCCAGATATAGCGTCTGAGTAGGAAGACAACGCCAAACAACGGTGGCAAAGTGCCATTTTCTCGAGATATTTCAAACCGGTTAATCAAAATTTCAGCATCTAATAGAAAACTGCTGGTGGCATCGATCGGTTGTGGACGTCCCGTGATCAGCTTTTTTTTCAGGCTCTGTCATTGACCCTCGTTTCCAAGGGGAGAATCATAACGAGTAGGTGTGTACGTTTATCTGTACGACCTTGAAGTAATCCGGCACTGAGTGAGAGAACGACTGAAAGGTTGCAGGTGTGTTTGTGACTCTGTTTGTTATTGTTGTTGTTCTTATTCTCATCAGTAGCTGGGTGAAAATTGTTTTCGAAACAGCTCTCCTCTCTAATGAATCGTTTGAATATAGCTTATTGTACACGGATCTGCCCTGTATAAATCCATCGTAGGTGTCGATATTTCACTGATTTGTGCGTGCTCGTAAGCGTCCTTAGATTATCAATCATACTTTTCGGTCTAATATCGGACGACGTCTCCCATTTAAAAGATCATTGACCTTGCGAAATACATCCCCAATCGAATGTGATCGATCGTTCGAGTTGGGAAGGAGGTCGATTCCATTGCAAATTGGGCGATCGAAAAAAGTGATATGCGGAACTTTTTAAGCGCATAATTGTATTTGATTTGTTTGGAAATCGCAGAAATTTGACTTAGCCTAAAAATTATCCCTGTTCTGATGCGAGAAGGAGTACATCAGTCTAACAATGTACATCTAAATAAGTTGAACACTGCAAATTAATTTAAAACAAAATATCTTACGAAAGCAAGGAAACTTCATGATTCTCTTTGTAAGGTCGTTGTCAATCAGCTTGCTCTCTACTGATTAAAAAATTGTTGAAATGTGAACAAAAAACCCTCATTTGCCACGTGGAATTCCCTTATGAGACAGAAGTGTTGTTGAGAGGATATGACTCAATCATAAATTAGTGGACAATTTAGTACAATTAACTGCCTTTAATTCGATTTAAGTGTTCATTTCCTCACTTTATAAGGGAAAGTGTTAAAACAACAAGTAATTAACTTAACACTGGAGTAAATATGTTTGAAGATGGTAGAGATCAAAGATTCCTAAGCTCCCTTTTGAAAGCAAATCCATCTCAATATAATTTGCATTTTCCCTCATTTGTTTTTCCTTGAGTTACATCAAAACTTTAATGTGCCAAAAAACCCTTTTTCACGAAAGCATACAGAACTTTGGTAACTTCAAGTTAAGGTCAACTTTCTCAATTTCACTGAATGAGGGACAGCCATCAAAATTAAGGGTGTAAATAGGCAGGTCAAATGAAATTAATTTCATTACAAATTGCCAGAAGTGAATGTTGATTCAAGAGACTCATATAGTGTACAATTTTATCACTCTTAAACTCCCAGAGATCAATGCAACCTATCAAAAGAAAAAAATGTTGGGATGATTACCAGTATTGATTTTCATCGTAATTTTGAGCCATATATCAAGAATTATCTTTTATGTTGTATAGTTGCTCAAAAAAAATCCAGTTGAAAATGACCATTAAATTGACTTTTACCATAAGCAAAACTTAATTAGAGTTTTCACTTCCTTCTGCATTTTATTTTCACACCGTCCTATATGGTGAAAATTTACAACATTAATTATATTTTTCTAACTTATTTACAGATACCCACAACAAGTGATACTCACAAATATGGGTGGAAATCAGTCCAACTTGCCTCCCCGACCAATGGGCTTTGAATACATATGTATTGCTGTTCGTGAAACAGACAAATTGCGCATTGTCCTTGGCACAGATCGAGAAATAAGCATTATCCGCCAGGTAATTGAGGAATCATGGCCCAAAGGGATTCAACAAGAGACATTCAAAATGAATGGTGTGCATGAATTCAAGTTGAAAGGAAATCCATTCTGTGCTGCCACTTCATCAAGTGATGCAATCATTTCAAGGAAAATGGCTGGAAATGTTCTGCACAGGCTTTACCGTGATGGATGGAAGCTTCAAATGTCAAGCGACCTAACACAGACAACAGATCTCACAACATGGATTTTCAAGCAAGATACCACTTCCATCTGTCCATCTTTGCCATTTCTCATTGTGGGTCTCAGCAGTTATGATAGTTTGATGGTACTCAATGGTCCAATGGACCTCCATCAAACGTTCAAGGATGTCATAGAGAAGTCCTGGCCCCAAGGAATACAGCGATGGACGTATGAGAATGATGTTTTAATGATCAAATTGAAGGGAAATCCCTGGTATGCGAATGGTGAGGATACAGTACATGCCAGAGTGATTTTACACACTCTTATTGGTGCTCTGCAGGTCAAACAGTGGAAGCTCTATGGAAATTCCAACCTTAGGAGTAGTGCTAACACTCTATTTTTTGAGCATGATCCTAATATTGTGCCTGGCATGCAGTTTTCTCCCATCCCTGGAATGCAGTTTTCTCAGTCACACTTCACAATCAGTTTCAACAGTCATGACTTGTTGAGACTGATTGGTGCACCAGAGGGGCTGGTGTCTGCTGTTCGCAACACTCTTCAGACCTTCTGGTCAAGAGGCATTCAAGAAGAAAGATCCTATGCCGGCAGCTGGCAGTTCAAGCTACGAGGCACTCCTTGGTGGGCATCAGGTGATGAAGCTGTGGACTCAAGGTTTCTGGTTTTGAAGGTGCTCGAAGCTTTGCAAGCCTATGGATGGAGTGTGGCGGCCAGTGTTGATTGCTCAAGGAAAGATTCTGACAAGAGTAGTGTGATCTTTAAAACATCTCAGCCAACTCAGTCTCATTTCTTCTGCATCAGTTTGCATGAGACTGACAAGTTGCGGCTTATAAATGCACCTGAGGATGTTGCAAAGGTTTGTGAAAGTCTTTTCATATGATATTTTAGTAAGGAAGCAAAATCTGCATCAACCCTTTAACTCCCAGAAGTGATCAACATGAAACTTCTCCTCATAATATCCTTACACTATCCAGCAAATAGGTAATGAGAATATTCAAACTTATCAGGCAGAAGTTATAATCTTGATCTAACACCAAATTATCATTACTACTTTACCAGGAAATGTGTAGCAGCTTGAGGGGAGAATTAATAATTTGATATTAGGAGTTAAAGGGTTAAATTAACTTTAAGTTGATGTATTGAGTAAGATACCTCAGTGCCTGTATTTACATTAAAGACTTGTGTCCTAGTTTCTTATTCTTTGTCTTTGGCACAATCAGTTGCAAAGAGCACAATACCCATGATTATTACTTGCCTGATAACTCCCTGAATTGTTCTCTACTCAGTCCTATTCACTACTAAAATTATATAAGTCTTGCTGTCAAGATATTGACAGTGTTTATGTTCATACACTGACTAGTTAACTTGCGCAAAATAACAACACTTTTTACATTTCTACATGTTTTTATCTTTAAGATTGATTGTACAGATTTCAATTGAAGTTACTGTTTTCTTGTCTTTCTCAGATTTGTCAGGATGTGATCCAATCCCAGTATCTTCTTGGCATTCAAAGGGTGCAGCTTTATGGTAAAAGCCTTGAGTTCAAATTTGTGGGTAACCCTTGGAGTTGTGGAATAGATGGTCATGATGGTATCCATGGCAGAAATATGTTACTGCACATATTTCGTGCTCTAGCAGGCCGCTTTTGGCGTCCAGTCATGTCAGCAGATGTGTCAGCCAAATATATCCACCAGGAAAATGGTCCTGATTATCCATTAGATGTGGATTCTATATTCTTTACCTATGATCCTTCTGCTGCATCACCATCTGCACCCCCCTATATGCAGCCACCACCTTATGGCTTTCTCCCACCCAATGAGGCTCCACCACCCTTTGCTCCACCTGCCTATGGTGCATATCCAAATCAGTGATAAAGTGGTATGACATCTAGTCTTGCATATGAAATGATTACCATAAATGGTGCTCTGAAAGAAGCCTATGACTGTATAGTGTCTTATAATTCCCAAAGGATTCTGAGTTACATGAATGAAACCAGTCCTTATTATGTCAATTACAATCAACTACTAATACTGTTTTGTCACCTTATTTAAACCCCCTGGTGGGGGGACTTGTCATGGAAAAAAGGTTTGTTAAGGAGGGGGGGGGAGTTAGTAGCTTTGAGGGTTGGCAGATTTGGTCTTTAAAAACTCACAGATTGTGCAATTTTGCACAAAAGTAAGCAGATTTATAGTTTTGGAAATTGCTCTGGATTGCGAATAAGTGGGGTGATTTAGTGGAGTTCTCCAAGACTTTGTCTTACCTAGAGACCCTGACGAGCTAACAATTCAGTTTCGAACACCTAAAAAGACAGGAAACTTCATGTAAAATCAAGTAATATCCTATGGAAGAAAAGCAAAGTATATGTAGATACATTATGTAGTGAAATGAAAGCAAGCTAGTCACAAAGACAGTTTTCAGTAACGCTGATTCAGATCTCAACGAAAAGAATGTTATTTTCACGGATCTAGCTAGAAATTAGTTTTTACCTGTCGGCAGATGTTTAAGCTTTTATTCTCCTCCCTCTTAAAGAATATTATAACTTGATCATAACGTCACAACTCTTTCTCTCTCATACTACGACAATTTACGTCATAATTGACAAATGAGTAAAAATGGGAAATTATTCCCCAGTTTAAACTTGCGATATTTAATAATCCATGCGTGATTAATTGTGACAAAAAGGGTTTACAGGTACGGTAACCCGCTCAATCTTTCGAAATTAATAAATTACTGGTGTATTTAAACTAATGGAAAAGGGTGTTACAAAAATAAAGAAACAAACAATTTGAATTAAATGGTACTGGGCAATTCAGAATTATCCACAACTTTTTTCTGTTATGAAAATACTTAATCAGTTGCCATCGTCTTTGGAAAAAATTGCCTTCTAGAGGAACGTAACACATCTTTCATCAATAACTATTCATGTTACTATTTGTTAATATGTGGCATGTCAAAACATTATTTTTTTTATCTATATTCTCTAGTAATCGACTATTTTGATGTAACTATGCGAAAGGGCATTCTTGACTTCATCATGAATAGATATCGTTTTGGTAGAAGAAAAGAAAAAGAAAACGATGTAAAGATGCTTGCGCTATCAATGCATGACAGAATATAAGGTACGTAGAGAATCTGAAATAAACTTTTTGAAAATTATACTTCGTCGCCTTTTTACTCAGGGCCGCTTACTTAAACATGGTTCAGTCGTTTAACAAAACTGCCTCCTAAACAATCCGCAATTTAGCTGCACCTTTCATCCCAACATTCATTTCAGCGAGCAGTGTCAAGAGGGCGAGGGGTAACAGCGGAAGGACATTTATTGAATTAAATCAACCCTCTTGTAGAGAAAGACTAAGGCCCACTGAATGTGTAAAACCGTGGTTTGGGTTTGACATCGTGTAAATAACCGGCTCTTAGTTTTTACCCTCGAGGCTGTTACTGATCAAGTTTCAATACATTTTAATTCTTAACTCTTTAACCCCCAGATCAAGGTGCAATTCTCCTTACTGTTAACCATACAATTCTCATGATGTTAGTTCAGAGAATTTAGTATTGGATCAACTTATCCCCAAATTGATATTTTACTTTATTCTCGTCACTTATTTGGTTGATATTGTTTTGATATTGTGAGGAGAAATTCTGTCTTGGTCACTCATGAGAAGTAATGGGTTAACCCTTAACACCCTGACACTAGTATGCAAATTCTTAAAACTGTTCTTTGTACATTTTCTAAGCTGCTGGCAAGGAAAGTGTCTCTCTCAATCAAGAACTTCTTTAGATAGTGATAGTTTCCATTTTCTCGTCACCGTAATGTATGGTTAAGGGTTGATACTGTAAGGTGAAATTCGATGCTTCTCACCCTTACACTCGAGGGTTAACAGGAATGTGAGTGTCAGTCCGTAAAAAAGTGTAAGCGGACTTTTTTTTCGACCACCATAAAATTAATTCTTAATATTCAGTGTGAAAGTGTTGGATGGAACGGTACTGATTTGTATTCCAAAGTTTAATCAGTTTCATCATATTTTTTATTTGCCTTATTTACATAATATAAAAAAATTTATTTACAGCGGTTATAGCTAGAAGACGAGGAGACCCAGGAAGCCACCGGGCTTATGGGAGAGCCACCTCGCTTACATTAATAAATAAAGTAAAGAAAAAGTGCTGCGAATGTGCGGCTAGGCCAATTCAAGGATTATTTAAGTTAAAACTCTTGCATTTTTGTCTTAAAACTAAGAAGGTTTGACGAACGAGTGACTGAAACAGGAAGAGAATTCCAAATTTTAGAACCTTGGTAAAGAATTGTAAAATTGCTTGAGATTTGTACGGCACAAATGCGTTCGATAATTACTGGCTGTTCTAGTACCATAGTTGTGAATTTGGCTATTCGTAACAAAAAGATTGAGAAGCAATGGAGGAAATAAGTTATTTCTATAATAAAACATGAATTTGGCGATTTCAAACGTATTGACTTGGAAAATATCTAAAATTCCTAGTTTGGAGAATAAAGGAGCGGAATGGGCTCGATAGTCTGAGTTGGTGATAGCCCGCACAGCTCGCTTTTGCAAGTAATAAATTCTATTTAAGTTAGATACGTATGTGGACGACCAGGCACAGTTACAATAGACGATATAAGGATAAATTAAGGTGTAGTACAAAGTGAGCTTGGTTGTAGAGGATAGGAAAAAGCGAGACCTGAATATAATACCTATTGAATATAATATAATATGAATATAATACCTATTGATACCAGTCGAAAAAATATGTACATTTTAAAAAGGGTGAAAAAAGTTAAAGATCTTAAATACATTTTTACTAAGCGTAGGGACAGAGAAAAGTCCTCTGCCAGCAGTTGAACTTTAAATCATGAACATTCGAGTGCTTTCCTAACCGAGCCATACTTTATGAATGAATGAATGGTAAGTTTCTAAAGAAACTGTGGTGCTCCATACGTAGGTGAATGAAATACAAGAGAATTTGGTTTCATCAAGTGAGTTGACAAAGTAAATTGGCCAGCTTGAAGAGTTTGTAAACCTGACGTTTCGAGCGTTAGCCCTTCGTCAGAGCTCACACTCCAAACATCAGCTTCAGAAACTCTCTAAGATGGCCCATTTACATTGTCAACTCAGTTGATAAAACCACATCATACTATACAACGCACTGGCTAGCGAGCCTGACTTTTTAGACGGTTGTGTTTCCTGATCACGGCTGATATAACTAACAAATTGATAATTGGTTGCACCCAAATATGAATAAAGTTCTCAGCAACGTTTTGTCACCTTACTTAAATTAGCATAGGACGACTTTCTCTTTCATACAGTTGTGTCAATCACAGCGTTTTGGCGATGAACTGAAGAGAGAATTTCGAAACTGTCTGCCTCGGTTTGTCTTGGCATTCACATGAAGTGTTCATTTTTCCTGAATTTCTCTCTTTCATACAGTTGTTTCAGTCACAGCGTTTTGGCGATGAAGAGAGACTTTCGAAACTGCCTGTCTCGGTTTGTGTTGGCATTCACATGTAGTCAGTATTTTTCCTGAATTTTGATCATTAGAGAAACTCGGACGATTATCCGTGGCATCGATTCCACACGGGAGAAACTGTGGCGCTTTTTCTGCGACACCCTCTGGGGTGTGAAAAGCAGGACTCTCTGGAATAATAAAGAACAATCCGTACCTGTAATACACATCATGAGATACTTCTTTTATACGCTCATCAAAATCTTTGTTCTCAACCTTCTCGAATGACTTTTCTACGCTTCGTTCGGCGCTTTCTTTGGCGATCTCTTTTGCCTTAATATGGAACCGTACTAGCGCTTCTTTCGCCTCAATGTGGCGGTAATACTCCAAGCTTGGTATTTCAAGCTGCTTTGCTTTTTTAAGACACCGACGAATACAAATTGAGGTGAACAAAGTAGACACTACTATTAGCAGCAAAGACCAGCCTGCTATCTGACTGTGGGTTTTGTAACGTTCTTCAAGTTGCTCCGAGCGGGTACCGGCTTCAAAGTAACGGAGACATCGGTCAGTCGTATTTGACTTCGTGGCATCTTTATCAACTAAAGGTGGTCCGAAATAGGCGCACGTGTAGTATTGTTGCCGTAAAAACGACAGTACTAGCCAGGCAGCTGGGGCGATGCATGCTCTTATGAAGACATATGGTGTAAGGAACAAAGCCTTAAGGTAGCGGACAGTCGGATATTTCGTCCGACGTCTGTTACAGATTGTGGCGAACTTCCACAGATCTCTATCGACCAAGATTCCGGCAAGAAACAAAAGCATTGCCGGAACCCAAAGAAATGCCAATCCATATGCAAAATGTCCCTCACACGGACAGTGAAATACCACACTTCCCACTAACTCCTCTAAGCCAACCGTCGTTCCAGCCATAAAGCCGTACAACAACGAGCGTTTTGAGTTTCTGAATAGAATTGCTGCACTGCTCAGTAGAGTATTCATTTCAAGCCGTCGGGACAGCAGCTCGAGTATTTTGACTATTGTCCGACTTCAATTGCAGTTTTATATTTCGAGGATATTTTTGGAAACGGAAGCTGTTTTACCAAATAAATTTCCCTTCTTTTCACATTTAAGAACGAAAGTTATTTTAACCAATAAAATGTTTACTCTTTCAGCAATAAACAGGAAGTGTTCGAAAGTTAGTTTCGAGCCGGTTTCTGAAAGGATGGAGCCGATTTTCGGTTTGATGCAGTTCAAAAGAAAGTTAACCGATAGAATGCGCTGCAAGAATCAACTGATGCTTAATGTGTTGTTTCATGAATCATTATGACTGTTGATTCTAGAAAAGCGAATTGATTTAATTCCACGAGTGGCGGTCGTTCCGCCTACGAGCCGTTTTGCTAACGACCGGTTCACTAACGTCCTTGTTCGTTTCCTCAGCATCTCAGGTCAATTCCTCGACGTCTCATTAGTCTACGTTTCGCTAACGTTTTAGTTTATTTCACAATCGTCTCCTTTTCGTTTTGTTTTCTTCGATGTAACGACAAAGGAAATTTTCCCCTGTAAACGTACATGTAAGATCGGCCGAAAATGGCAACGACCCAAATCTCCCACGATTTTTCGGTCGATTAGAAGTCAATCAAATTCTGCTTGCCATATCTGGATCATGGACTCCATTATCAAAAATTTAAATCAAATTAATTGTAATCCAGAGGAAAATTAAGAGGCATGTAGATCCGTTTGTGCGACACACTTTTTAACCACTTAATCAGAAAGAAAGGAAACATCCAAAGATGAAAGTACACATTCAGCACATACAGTTTCAATCTTTCTATTCATTCATGTAACACTAATGCCACTCCATAAATAATATTACCGCTCTTCAGTAAACATTAAAACTTCATTTACCGATACTAACAAGCTCCTAGCCATTTATCAGTCATTACTGATTCTTCTACATCGTTTTTCCGACCAAGTAAAATTACGTTATTAACTTTAACGAAAATGCCGGCTTTCGAGTCAGCTTACGAACCTGGATGCCCACCATGATAGGAGTTATCTCCGGTTTTCAAAGCTGACAGCCCTGCCCATGTCTTCTGAAAGCTGGCTTGATGGGGCACCCTCTATATTTGGTGCCTCATCCGGCCTTGAGAGAAGGGACTGAACCAACTTCCCTCTCGAGGGCAGAATAAGTGTGTTTACATCCAGTGTGGATAGACTAGCGGATAAACTTATACAAGTATCATTCGCAAAAAGGTGAATCACTGTGCTTTTTTTGACAATTGCACATCGTCTGAGTACTTTTTCTGATTATGACCGAATAATGGTGCTTATAATCTCGAGATAAGATTTTTTTCTGACCCCTTAAAGATGATAAAGGTTGGTTGATCATCATTAGCATGAAGAAGCTTACAAAAAGATCAAATTTAGGTTCTGTCTTTTGGCTGCTATTTTGAGTCATAAAAGGGCAAATTATGAGTTTAGCAAGAAAAAATATTAGACGTTTCTTTCATGGTCTAGAGCAACTTCTTTAAAGCAAGAGGAATCATTGGTTATCAGCTTTCATGGTCTCAGTTGCCATAGTTATTGTAATTATACTCTTATTCAAAAAGACTAAAGTGGACGTCTGTTTACTAGTTATGATGAGCTAAATTTGATTCGATCAATTATTTTAGCGCGTTCCAAATTTTTTCCCCCAGATTTCTTCCCTGTCTTTACTTTATTATGGCATGGAAAAGTTAGTGACGTTTTTTCCACGCTGTTCAAACGAAAGCCTTAAAGTTGTGTTGAAACCTGACCTACATCGCAAGTCTAGGAATTCGCAACATTTTGGAACTTAATTATCAGCTTTGGCTAGTTTTAATATATCGTTCTCAAACTTGACAAGTTGACTGATTTCCAGACGCTCTTTAGCAATAACGGAGAATCGTTGCCGCCTGGTCTTTGCCAAAAGTTCTTCTTCGCTCATATGTTTGCAATTTTAATGGTCTTTTCTTTAAATTTCAGCGTGTTATAAAAGAAAGAATCGGTAAATATTGGCATTTTGTTACTTGACACATCGTTAATCAGATTTCACTTCGAGATGAAGTGGAGCGTTCTGAAAGCCGACTGTAATTTTTATCATGGAGCGGAAGAAAACCCAATAATAATAATAGCAACACATGGCGAAATAATTTTTTTTTGGAGAAAAGTCAATCAATAGCTTAATGTACTATAATCATTTGAAACGCAAGCTACTCATTTGTTTTTTGTGGGAAACTTTGGAAGAGGACTCCAATTAAAATCATCGGCATATTTCATTTTCGTAGATTCGCAAAAGTTAGACCAAGTTAGGCTACCAGCATCCGTGAATTGGAGAGAAACACTCCGTAAATAATGGTTTGATTTAATACAAAAGACAGAAGACACCTGGGATGAAAAAATAAGAAACCGGAAAAAAACTATGGCAGCTGCCATGTTTTGTTTGGAATATCGCAGATCAATAGTCATCAGTATCACACGGCAGTGAGTGATTAAAATAGTAAAATTGTCTGATACCCGAGAAATAGAATTCCTTTCAAGCTTTTTCTATTATGTAGATCTTAAAAATCTCTCCTCGGATTCTTGCAGCTCAGCAGCTGATATTTTCTAAATTCCTCTTCTTCTATTTTTTTTTGGAGGGAACTCTTTAACGATTTTAAGTACTTCTTTCCTCCTTGTGCAAGCACTTTGTTCTTCGTCAATGGATTTGACCTGTGAAGCGTTTTCCAGTTAAACATGTGTCTTGTAATAAAATGATGTTTACTTTTTCAGCTTTTTAGGCTAATCAATATGCTACTGTCTGCGGCTCACCAACACAGTTCAGTGAATGCTGCAGCCCATCGGAGAAACGGGGAATTCCGTGATGTTCGTCGATCGAGTCTTGAGCTCCACACAACTTCACCCGGAGCCAGGTTACGACGCAACTATCCCGTGCGTCTGTGAGCTATTTCCTAGGGGGTCCTCCTGTCTTGAAAAACATCAGCTTTAGTGCCACTCCCGGTGAGAAAATAGATGTTGGACGGACTGGTACTAGAAAGTCGTCAGTTACCGCCTGTTTGTTGCGCATGCCAGCAAACACCGACACCATCATTATCGAAGGAATTTGTATGACTGATCTCAAAGTCTAGGATGTTTGCACTGTGATGGCAGTCATTAGTCAGAGTTCTTTCCTATTTAATGAAGTGCTTCGTCGAAGTCTTGATCCAGCTGACAAATTTATTGTTGAAGAATTGCGGAATATTTTGGACAAAGTTAAGCTGAAGTCGACTGTGGTAATAGAGATGGTCAACTTTACTGTCACGTGACAGAAAATGGTGCTAATTTCAGTGTCGGAGAGCGGCAGTTGATCCGCTTCGCTCGCGCTCTTTTGTTTGGATCAAGCAACATCCAGTGTGGATACACAAAGGGATGAACTTATACAAAGTATAATTCGTAAAGAGATGAATCATTGTACTGTTTTGACGTCTGAGTACTGTATCTGATTACGACCGAATCATGGTGCTTGGCGAAGGGAAAATTGTCGGAACGGATTCTCCCAAGACTTTACTTAAAAATAAGCTCACTTTTTTCTACTAGCTATATCACAATGTGAACTTTGAATTATGATTATGCCAGATAGTCCTGTGAAAGATTGGTCTAAGACATTAGACCAATCTTTTACATGACTATCTGGCATATCTGCTCATTAGGCCCTATGGTGTCGATTCAGATTTTCGCTCATACCAAAGGTCAGAAAGCGTACAAATATGCAGTTATCAGAAGTTTACTCTTAAATCGACTGTTTTACTCTACCTCGCTGAAAATTTGTATTGCTGAATTTCAACATATCTTTTTGCGGTAGAAATGAGGATCGGTGAAACGCTGTCTCAGTGAATTTGTCCACGCACGCAATGAACGTGATGAGCAGCTGAAAATTACATGTAATATCGTTATCAAAGTAACACTAGCAATAAGATATATGTATTGTCCTTACATAGTTTTCTGTTATTTCTTGTATGACAATGTGGCAGTCTTGCTAGTCACATCAGCATAGCAAGCAAATAGCAGTTTAAGTAATGTTGAAAAATACTAAGAAAGTGAATGCGCATATAAGTCATTTTTCAGATGGACTTGTTTTCAGATATAAAGATAGATGGACACGATTCGACTGAAAACAAATGAATGCAGATATCTCACTACGAATTACAAAAAAAACAACAAAATCAATCGACAAAAAATATTCTGAATGAAAAAGAAACTGGCGAACTTACAATTTGTGGCGTAGGCAGGTCTTGCAGTAAAAGTTTTAAATAAAAGTAACACGGCGCTAACAGAAACTAACAAAACAAAACGACTGACTCAGTTGAAATCAAACAACGATATATTGATGATATATTGATGTGAGTGGTCAAAGAAGTAATCAGTTTAATAAACCACTCCAGTCGTAACAAACTTGTTGAAAATTGGCGAATATTTACAGACAAAAATTCACAACTAAAGATTCGAGTTGTTACTCACTAAAAAAAGACGGGTCTATAACTGGTCTAGCCGGTCAATTCTGTGTCAAGGTAGGCTTCTTATTAAATAAAACGTGTGCTGCATTTTACCATGTTCTTACATAGGAAGTGCAAATTACACACTCTAGCACTCTTAAAATGAAATGGTTGTTTTCATGACAAGTCCAGCGAGTCAGTGAGTTTGAGACACCTGTGCTGTTTTCAAATCGATAGAACTGTCTTTAGTCCACTATTTAC